CCCCCAGGCCACCCCGGAGGACGCTGAGCTGGTGTCCACCCTGTTCAGCGCCGTCGGCCGCATCTACCAGCTGGATGAGAAGCTGCTCGCAGCCGTCACCGGCCTCAGCGGCAGCGGGCCCGCGTTTGTGTTCCTCATGATCGAGGCCCTCGCGGACGGCGGCGTGCGCGCGGGTGAGTGAGGGGGGGATGGATAGATGTGTTGGAGGGGCCGGCAAAAGGAGGGAAACACTGGGAGGGGACGGGGGGGAGCGCAGGGCCACGGCCTACATGAGGGCGAGCGCCTGCCTGCGCGACGCGCTGCGTGGGTGCCGTCTGGGGCTCGTGCCTGCCATTGCGTGCGGGTGGGCCGCGCAGGGAGGGGCAAGTCAGGGCGGCATCACTAGTGAAGTGGCGGCCGCCCATAAGTGACCCTCAGGCCTGAGCGCACTTGGCGGGCGGTAGCGCGACAGCGCGGGGCTGCGCCGCCACAACGTCCTCGTGGGTGTGCGTCCGCCCAACGCCGCGCCGCCTTCGCGCCCACCCCCACCCCCCTCACGCCGCCCCCACAGGCCTGCCGCGCGACGTGGCGCAAGCGCTGGCGGCGCAGACCGTGCTGGGCAGCGCCAAGATGGTGCTGGACACCGGGAAGCACCCCGGGGCCCTCAAAGATGTGGGTTGACCGCTTTGACTGCACACCCACTGCGCACACCAGGTCGCCCCCAACCGACACATCCGCGAACTGGATGCTTGAGCCATCGGGCGCCGGCTGGCCGCTGCACCGCATTGTTTCGCCCCGCTGCCCCTCACCGGCGGCCCCTGCCGTCGCATGCCGGCGGGGCGCCGGCCAGCTGCTGGCCTCACACACACCGCCGCGCCACGCGCCCCCTGCCCTGACGCGCTTCTCACCCGCCCACGCACCTGTGCCCCACCACCCCTGGACGCCATGCAAACCCCTCAGATGGTCACAAGTCCTGGTGGCACCACTATCGCTGGTGTGCACGAATTGGAGAAGGGGGGCGTGCGCGCCGCATACATGTCGGCCGTCGTGGCGGCCACAAACCGCGCCAACGAGCTCAGCAAAATGTGACGCGCGTGCAAGCAGCAGGCGCCGCCGCTCGCGGCGCGAGCGCGCCAGGGCCGGCGCGCCCCGCGTCGATCGCGTGCACATGTCGACGAGGCCGCGGGCCGCCTTGGTCGGGCGGGTGTGGGTAGGCTTCAATGGGTGCATGTGCAGCTGTAAAGTATTGCAATCCCTGCAGCCCCTGTGATCTGCGGCGCCCGCCGTGTTTTTGAAGTGGCGTCGATGCCGCCACCAGAGGCGCACTCGTCTCGCAAAGAGGCAGGACAGGGGCAGCTTCGACGCTTTTGTCGCCGCGGCCGCGGCAGCTGCCGCGCAGAATCCCTCAAGACGCTGACTCCCTGCACGCCTGTCTCGGCCGCCTTCTCATTCGATTCGCTTAGTGCCGGGAAGCGCAGCTGCAGCAGCATGGCCTGGGCTTCCCCACGGGGGACTCCTGGCAGGTCGATGCCCTCAGGCGATCGCCATGCCAGTGCGCGCAATGTAGAGGAGGAGGCCGCCGCACAGGGGCCCACCGGTTGCTTGCGGCTGTGTGCATATCCATGTCCGCCATGCCAACCCATCATCGCTGTTAACGCAGCCGCTGGAGCCTGCATCACAGTGGTGCAACGTGCCGGTCGCCTGACTTCCAGGGTTCCGTCCTGGCCCTGGTCCTGGCTTGCTTGGCATCCTAAGTGCCCCCCAGCCTGGGATATGACTCAAGAAAGTTCATAACAACATGACGATGCTGGTGTGGTATCACGGGGAATGGAAGCTTGGACCCAGAGCGCCCCTCCCGCTTCGCGAGCGCCAACCTCAGGCCCTGCTGGCACCACAAGAAGGACCCGGGCATATGCAACGCATAACGCCTCACCACCAACTACCTTGCACGTTGAATGCCAAGGCTTCTTCAAAAACGTGTCTGCCATCATTTTCGCTCGGCATCAGCAACTGACCGCGGTGGCGTCGCACTGTCACAGCACAAGCAGCGGAGCGGGCTCCACAGGACCATGCAGTCAGAAGATAGATCTGAATAGGTGGTAATATTTTCGACGTCTGAAACCACCGTGAGCAAGGAGAGGTCACCGGGGTGCCGTGGCCGGATCCACTTGGGGTGGACGGCCGATAGGTTGGTGGTTCACGATTCCCAACGGGATGGGACGTGGTCGCCCTGGCCATGCACCAGTGCGGGTGCAGCCCCTCCTCGTGGCGGCTCTGCTGGGCGCGGCCGCAACTCTCGCAGCAGCGCTCCCACGGGACCCGGGACGTCCAGCGCGGCTCGCCGCGTTCGACGCCATGGAGTCCTCGTGGCGCACGACCGCTGCCATGAAGTTTGGCAAGTCCGAGAATGAGCTGCGGGAGCTGGTCGGGGGCGGCGAGTTCCGATTGAACAGGGACTCCCTCATGGCGCACTACGCGTGCACCTTCGGAGGGCCCGAAGCCGCCGGCAACGGCGCGCTGGCCGCGGCCGCGGACCCGCTTGCCGCTGATGTCGCGTCTCCCCAGTCCCTGGTCGCGCCTGGGCTGGGGGACCCCGACCCGAGCTTGGCTTTCAAGCTCCACAGGTGGGCCAAGGGCGGCAGGCTCTCCACTGAACCTGGATGGCCAATGGTTCGCGTGCCGCTTTTATAGAGTGACACGAGCGCAGAGCAAAGAGGGTCTGGCGTGCCACTTAGCAGCAAGCGCAACCCCACATGCCTGCTGTCGACCCCGCGATCGATCCCGCCTGCGCAGCCGCCCTGGCGCCCCCCGCACCCTGTACCTGGACTTCACGGGGCACACCACCACCGGCACGCAGTGGAACAGGTCAGAGGGCGCGGTTGATACGTTGCCGGGGAGGGGGTGCTGCGCCGAGGCGGCTCGCTGATTCAGAGGAAAACGGTTGGGAAGGCGCGGCCCAACACACAGCCCCATGTACGCTACCCAATCTGTGAGCCAACTCCCCCACCGGGTGCGTGCCAATGCAGGGAGCCCTGCTTCGAAGCGGACACGAGTTTCTGCTTCAGCACGACGAGGGCCTTCCCTCCCTCGTTTGTCACGCCGCCCTTTGATCTTGACGGCAACACGACCGGCTTCACCACTGCGGAGATGCGGGCGATAGTAACAATCTGGGTGAACGTTGCAGAGGTGTGTGCATATGTGTGTGTGTGTGCGTGCGTGTGTGCGCGCGCGTGTGTGTGTGCGTGTGTGTGTATGTGTGTGTGTGTGCGTGCGTGCGTGCGTGCGTGTGAACACGCATGCGTGCGCGCGCGCGTGTGCGTGTGTGTGCGTGTGTGTGTGTGTGTGTGTGTGCGTGTGTGCGTGTTTACATGCAGTCTATCGAGAGGATATTGGGACCAAGCACAACAAGGGGAGGAGAGGTAGATCCCAGGAGGAGGTTGTCATGGTGGTTGGTGTGCTGCTGTGCAGTGTTTGTGCATGGTGCAAACACACGGAATTAAACATCGCAGGTGTGTACGATTTGTTGATGTGAGAGGCCTCAGGAGTGGGTGTGCAGGCAGGTGCCTGTGTGAACGTCTGGACCTATGTTTGCCACTAGCACACGCAGACGAGTATGTGTGCACTTGTTATACATGCACTCCGTTGCAACCTCCCCGTTACCCATTCATAACCCAACCGTTTCCAGGATTACTCCCCTTTCAATGTCGACGTCACCACGGGTGCGCCAACGGTGGCGTGCTAGCAGCAACCCAGGGGTGTCTGCTTGAAGGCCTGCTTGCGCCAGGGCCCTGGGGCCCGCGACATGAGTCTGCGGCTGGTGGTGGAGCCGGTGCTCGCGTCTCAGTAGCGGAGCTGCACCGCGGTGCTGGCAGCGAGCCTCACACGCTGAGGCCTGCTGATGCCGCACTGCTACCGCGCGCCCTAAGCCAGCCCACCATGCCTACGATAACCCCCGCAGAGGAGCCCACCTTTTCCCTGGGGAACAGAGTCGGGATGCGGGTGTGCATCGGCGGCAGTGATCTCGACTGTAAGTGAGGGAGGGGATGTCTAGAATAGGCAGTTGGTGCCTGGTCAGCGCTCGCACACGCGTTGCTCCATTCCATTCCCATAAAAAAAACAGCCTGCTGCTCAGGCGTGCTCCATCCTGCACCCACCGCGCTCTCATAGGGTTCTCATACAACACCGGCGGTCAGATGGTGACAGGCGGCGTCGCCTTCGTCTCAACGTTTGGGGTTGCACGCCTCGGCGCTGGCTACCCCTCCAATGGCAATGAGGTTGCTCCGGCGTGAGTGCACTGGCTGGAGCACCGCCTGCCAGTGGTTGATTGGGTGCCGCAGCCTGGTCACACCTGATGTTTCCGGGCTCGATACCATTTTGGTGTGCAGGTATGTTTTCACCAAGTCCCTGTCATCCAACATCAAGGCCATATGGGAAGCCATCAGGTATTTGTGGGTTCTGTTGAAGGTGTGCGGGCACGATGGAGCCAGCACCAGGGAGGTGACGGCATGGCCTGCACAGCCGATTGGATTGCGGGTTGCCTGGTTGCCGGAGCGCATCGCAGCGCGTGTTGGTGTGCTCTCCTGATCACGGGCCCCTCCCCTTGCTCTTCGTGCCGCCCCTTGCAGCCACGAGGCGGGACACACCCTGGGTCTTGAGTAAGCGGGCTGCCGTGACATTGCCACACGCCCTCCCTGCAACATCTAAACGATGATGTGATTGAGCATGTGTTGATAATGTGCGCTGGCAGAACCGGCGTAGTGCAGCAGCACCCTTGTCGTGTGAGAAGCAGCTGCGGCCCAACCCAGAACGGTGACACTGCCCAACATCACCTGGGCGTGCGCTCGCATGCTGCTCTCACTGCGCCTGCAGCCACCACGGGCGCAAGGCGTTTGCTGGCAACAATAACGTTCAAGAAGAATACTATCGGTACGTGTATCAGTGTGCGTGTGTGCGTGTGTGCGCGTGCGCGTGTGTGTGAGAGTGCATGTGTAGGTGTCTGTGTGCGTGGTTTTGTGTTCGTGTCTGTGACGGCGTGTATGCATCTGTGCGTTTGTGTCTGTCTGTGTGCATATGTGTGTTCATGTGTGTGTGTGTGTGTGTGTGTGTGTGTGTGTGTGTGTGTGTGTCTGTGTCTGTGTCTGTGTGTGGCTGTTTGTGTTTGTGTCTGTGATGGTGGTTGTGTGTGCGTTTGAATGAAAGTGTGTGATTGCTGTCGATCACAAAGCCCTGGGACCGCCAAAGCACGCCGCCATGATAAACTTAGGGCATCAAGGGGATGCATCATGCCTGGGGCATTCAGCGCCAACATCTCGTGGGCTGTACCACCTGCCTAGCCCCATGTACCCACATCTGCCCGACGTTCAACCGTTCCTGCTGCTTCCCTCCGTATGCCCTCCTCATGAACCGCCTCTCAGCGGCCACAACAGTGAGTGTCAAGGGGTGTGAACCGACCCCGCGTGCGGGCGCCCCACGCTGTGGGCAGGGCGGAGGGGGTTGCGCCCAAAACAGGCCTTGTGTCGCGCCTTCCTTTTTACGCCCCTGCAGTCACTGGTGTTGCCATCAGCTGAGAGAAGTACTCATCACATCGCTGGCGCCCTCCTTTGCTCACGACCTTCCCTTGGCGTGCAGATTGGGCGCCCATCATGGGGATCTCGTACACACGGAGCATATCACAGTGGTGCCGCGGAGAGTGAGCTGCAAAATGCTTGAGTTGGTGCAGGGCAGTGTGGCGCAGGCTGGAAGTGAGGGCTTAAGAAAGGGGAATGTTTGCGCAGTCAAGGTCGCCTTGAGCTATCCGCAGCTGGGGACCCTTGCAATGAAAGTAAATGTTGCAAATCCTGTCTGTTGCAGGACGGGAAAGGGCGCAGGCTCCCGTTGATGCGTTGCGGCGTGTAAGGTCAGCCAGGGTTACAGCCGAGGCAGTGCCGACAAAAGAGGTCGGCAAACCCATCACGCACACGCTTTTGGCCCATTCAAGCCCCGGCGACTGAATGCTTGCAACGCGTGACACAGGTACGCTGAGGCTACGTTGCCATTTCAAGACGACTTGGCCATAATCGCCCGCTTCGTCCCGCTTGCTGCTGACGAAGCGGGCGGCACACTTGCTGCCGCCAGAGCCCTGGCCAACACGTCCTCTGAAGCAGGCGCCTCGTTTGTGGGGATCATCAGTGGCGCGTCTGACGTGGATATGTTCAGGTTCAGCAGCGGCGAGGGCAACGTCAGTGTGGCCCTGACCCTCGCCAGCACGGCGGTCGGTAATCGGTCGCCCTTTCCTACCTGGGACCGTACCAACCTGCAAGCCGAGGTGCCTGGCATGGCTTATGGTGCAGGCATGCATGCCTCTCTGCACCTGTATGCGAGCAGCTGGCACACGCACTTTCTTGGCGCAAGCACACGCACGCGCGCGCCTGCGCGTGTGCTCAGACGCACATGAAAGTGAGCCACGCCCTCAAGCATTCACAAGCTCACAAACATGCATGTCATGTATGCGAGCTCGCATACATCCTCGCGCAAACTCACGCCTGCACGAGCTTGCGCATCCCCCCACTCCCCCCCCCTCAACACACACAAACACGCGTATGCGTGCGGGCGCGTGCGGGCGCACGTGCACACGCGTGCAGGTCACGTTGATGAATTCTTCTGGCGATGTTATCCAGTCCTGGAGCAATGCAAACGGCCTCCTACAGGGCCAGCTGAGCCCCAACGCCACTATCACCACAGACGTGAGCAGTCGAAGCCCGGCTTCCTGCGCAGGCGGCAGCGCCGTTGAATTCCACTAATATCGGCTCTGGGTGCCACCTTCCGCCCCGTGCCCATCAAAAAAAGTCACCCTTCAGGCTCGGCATTTGCATGCCGTCTCCCCTCTTCACACACCTCCTCTGCAGGGAATCTACTACCTCTCTGTCAGGGGCGCCGGCCGGGGTGCGAATGCCACCACGGGCTTCACATCTTACGGGTCCACAGGGCAGTACAGGGTCACCGTCACAGCACCGGCTAGCAACAGCAGCATTGACATCAGCGGAGACGCCGGCAACAGCACAAGTGGGACCGGCGCCAACGGAACTGTCGCAGCAGGCACCAATGGTACTGGAGGAAGCAGTTTCAATGGCACTGTTGACAGCGGCACCAACAGCACTGCTGGGAGCGGAAACAATGGGACTGCTGGAGGCGGCACCAACGGGACTGTCGGGGGCACCAACGGGACTGTTGGGGGCACCAACGGGACTGTGGGGGGCGCCACCAACGGGACTGTGGGGGGCACCACCAACGGGACTGTGGGGGGCACCACCAACGGGACTGGTGGGGGCACCAAAAATGGAACCGTTGGGGGCGTCAATAACGGGATAGCTGGGAGCGGCACCAACACCACTTCTGGGAGCGGCACCAACACCACTTCTGGGAGCGTCACCAACGGCACTACTGGGGGCGCCAAAAATGGGACGGTCGGGGGCATCACCAACGGGACAGTTGGAAACGGCACCAACGGGACCGGTGCGGTGGGCATCAACGCGACAGTCGGGGCGACCGGCGGAACCAGCTCAAAGACCACCGTCTCATGCAAGTCTCCCGGTGACGTCACGCTGCCCCAGACGTTCAACGGCTCGTGCAGCTCTGCCGTATTGGCCGTTTCAGACCTCTACACCACAGGGGGCCTGCCCGGCACGGATGTGTCCGTTACGCCCACCCTCCCAGCTGACAGCCTGTATGCACCAGGTACATGGGGTCAGCGCTGTGAGCCAGATGGGCGTGACAACCCACATTACTAACCCCCCCAGCGTGCCGTGCAGTTTCTTTTGCTGCACACTGCGGCTGCTGTCAGAAATCTAATACAGCATTATGGCTCATCAGTCTCATGACTTGCCCACGCTGCCATACGCATGCCCCACGCTCATGAATCCCTTTGCGCCTCCAACACGTACGCCTCCTCTTACCTACCCTTGTATCCTTGACTCAGGCAACTACAGCTACGCCGTCATTGCGGGATCTGGTGCCAACTGCACAGTGTCATTCACAGTCACCCAGGGGCCCGGCTGCAGCAATGCCACGGCGGTTACCTGCACGGCTGCGCCCAAGGTCGTCACCCTGGCCACTGGCAGCTGCGAGGGCGTCACCATCCCTCGGTGGCAGCTCTTCACCGGCGGCGGCAACACCACCGTTACGCCCGCGCTGCCCACGGACATGTACTTCACACCAGGTGAGGGGGAAGAGTGTGCGTCTGGCCTGCTGCTGTGTGTGGACCTCTCACAGTTGGCGACAAACGGTCCCCACCGTGGGACCGAACGCAGGCTGGGCGCGTACGCGGCGACAATTGTAAACCGCAAAATCCTTGGAATGCTCCCCATGTATTGCATACGACCGCAGGGCGCATGACCAAGTTCAAGGTCGTGGCGGCCGACCAAGTGTCTCGCTGCACCTTCAAGTGCGAGACGCGCACTAGCTGCTTCCTCGGTCCAGACCGTTGCCATGTGCCCAGCTTCTGCCTGGCTAAGGCAATGTGCCCCACCCTTCACTAATTTGTGTGCCTCAAAGCGCTCCTTGGGTCTGACTGCGCAACCTTTGCACCCACCCAACCCTCCTCTTTTCCACCTCGCAGGGTCCAAGTGCTTCCCTGCACCCCCGTGTGCGCCTCTACAAGCCTGAACCTCACAACCGCCCCTGATGCGTGTACCTCCAGCTCCAGAGTCGATGCCTCCGCCCTCCTGGTGGCGTCCAGCCTTGGCAAGTCTGCCAATGTGACACTCTCGCCGGGCGGGGCCCTGCGGCAGGGGGTGCGCAAGGTCAAGGTGACTGCCGACTACGGCAAAGTCAGTGCCAAGACCACCTGCACCGTCAACGTGATGGACCAGCAGGCGCCCAACATCACCCTGGTGCCGGCCTCTGGCAGCCTCTGCGCCTACCCCAAAAAGGGCTCAACCTCTGCTTGCTTCTCCATCCGGAAGCTGGCCGACGTGTCCGACAACTGCCGCCCGAAACCGACGCTGCTGTTCAGGAGCTGCACCGTCACTGCCAACGGCGCCAGCAAGGACTGCTTCCAGGACAAATCCAAGCGTGTGTGCGTGAGATACAACAACGGCACAGCGCCCCTCACTGCGCAGGCTGTCTTCACTGCCAGGGACGCGTCCGGAAACGAATCCCCGGCGAAAACAGTGACGATCACTGCGTACAGCGTCCAGCCCAACCCTGTGCCCCCAGGCTGCGAGCCCAAGTAGCAACAATGGCCGGGTCACATCACCCGCATTGGTGAGAGGAAGGCAGCTGAAATGAAATGGCACGAGAGCTGCTGGCCCGGGATGGCGGAACCGCCAGCCCATTGCGCACTGCCCATTTCTTCTGCGTGGCCGGCGCCCTGCAGGGGCTGCAGCGTCCTTGCCTAAATATCGCTTGTCGAATAATCGCTGCGACGGGATTAGGGAGTATGCCACACCAGGCTGGACGTGGCAATATTGTTCAAGCACTGTACTGGTGCCAGGTGCGTCAACAGGTCGCTTGCATAGCAACTGCGACACCGCATCGCCACGTGCACGCACTTGCACACCCCACACGACAACTCGCGCTTTTGTGCGTGCAATCCCCAGTATACATGTGCATGTACGCACTCTGCTCAAGCGCTTGGTCCACCGCACAGTGGCTGGGCTTCGGCTGCGTCGCACCCCTTTGGTGCTCTTGCACGCACAGCATCAGGATTGGGGCCCTCGCCCATACAACTATTGGAAATCGCGCCAGCAGAGCGACCGGCTGTGCCCAGCAGTGACGGGGGTGCCGATGTGCCGCTGTGCTTGCTGCCAGTCTTTCCTTTGGCGCGACTCGAGGCCGCATGTTGCTGGACTGGGGGCTTAGCGCAAGTCACCAGGACCGCAGCTGCAGTGGCGGGTTGACGTCCTGAGCGTCCGCAGATCTTCTCCAGGGCGCTTGTGAGTCCTTCTGAGCTTCCCCTGCCCTTTCCCTTCCTTTAACCCGTTGACAAGCACTCACTTACGGTCGCATCAGGACAATCAAAAAGCTGTTTCCACTTCGATTGTTTGGATTGTGCGCAGTGCTGGAAGTCACGCCATGGGACCACAGCACAACACTTACTGGCGTGGACGGTCGCTTTTGCACGGCCTCCGCCGATGCTTATCCCCAGCTGAACAACTTTTTTTGTTGCGCTTTGAATATGCGATCGCCACCCGTTGATGGTTCGTCAAGCCCACTGGGCTTCACTCGCTTTGGCGCCACCTTGCAGCTCGCCTGCCCAAACCCTAAAGGGAACCTCGCTGTGAGTCACCCACTGACCGCGAGCATATTGCGGGCGCGTGCGACGCACAGCCTGCGGTTTCCATGTGGGCGCCTCTTCGTACTACATGGCATCACGCACATCTGCGCGCATCGAAATCCTGCATCGTCCTCGCGGCACCACCTGTCAGCACCGAAGCGAAGTGCACACAGCACTTCCGTTGTTCTGTCCTGGTCTGCATGCCCCCTTGCCATGTAACCCCAACGCGAACTCACATGCCGTCCCATCATTCACACTGCATTATTCTTTGTTTTTGTAGCTTGGCATCAGTAACCAAACGCGGGTGCCCTGCCGTCGTGGCGGGTCCAGGGCACCAACGCCTTGTGGGATCCAGAGCTCACGCAGTGCCCTGCACTGCCGTGCAAATTGCCGCTGAAAAGTCTTCCCACTACCATCGACAACAAGGGGAGGTCACCACAGTGTGGTGACCGGGTTTACCACCTCCGTTGTCAGGGTGGTGGACACGCGATAGAAGTGCTCAACGCGGGCACGTCACCGGCGGGATGGAAAGTGGTCGCCTAGGTCCTGCCCGAAGCCGGATGCAGCCTCTCCTTGTGGCCGCCTGTTTGGGCACAGTCGTGATGCTCGCCGCGGCGCTCCCCGAAAAGCCAGGTCGTGCGGCGCAGCTGAAGTCGCTCGACGCCATGGAGTCCTCGCGGCGCGCGAACACTGCCACAAAGTACGGCAAGTCAGAGAAGGAGCTGCGGGATCTGGTCGGCGGCGGCGAATTCCAGTTGAACGAGGACTCCCTGACCGCGCACTTCGCCTGCACCTTTGGCCGCGACTATTCCGCCGACTCAGCGGACCCGCTTGCCGCCGCCGCCATGGTGCTCACTGCATCCCCCCAGTCGCTGGTCGCGCCTGGGCTGGGGGATCCCGACCCGAGCCAGGCTTTCAAGCTCCACAGGTGGGCCAAGGGCGGCAGGGTCTCTACTGGACCTGGATGGCTAATGGTTCGCGTGCCGCTTTTATAGAGTGACACGATCGCAGAGAACAGAGGGCCTGGCGTGCCACCCTGCAGCAAGCGCAACCCCAAAGCGCCCGCTGTCGACCCCGCGATGGATCCCGCCTGCGCAGCCGCCCTGGCGCCCCCCGCACCCTGTACCTGGACTTCACGGGGCACACCACCACTGGCACTCAGTGGAACAGGCGAGAGGGCGCGGTCATGATACAGGCAGGGGATCTGCACCGCTCTGTGCTGTTTTCAGTCTGTCTACCACCTACAAGGAAGCGGATGGGCGCGCGGCTAGCAACACAGCTCCGTGCACGCCACTGTGTTCTTGAAATCCACGCCCACACTGGCTGAACTCAAACGCAGGGAGCCCTGCGCATACGCCAACACAAGCTTCTGCTACAGCCCAGGCAGGGCGTACCCTCCCTCGTTTGTTACCCCACCTTTTGATCTTGACGGCAACACGACCGGCTTCAGCACTGCGGAGATGCAGGCAATTGTCAAGATCTGGGTGAACGTTGCAGAGGTGCGAGCATGCGTGCGTTTGTGGGGGTCTGCTTGCGCGCGTTATGTTTATGTGCGTATTTGCGTGTGCATGAATATGACACACACTCACAACCATTTATAAATTAAAACATGTATACATGCATTTAAACATTTGTACATACACGCAAGCACACGCACACACACGTGTGTGTGTGTGTGTGTTTGTGCGTGTGTGTGTGCTTGTGTATGTGTGCGTCTATGCGCTCCACTGAGGCATGCTCAACGCCGTTTGTGCTGATAATCTTTATGCACTCTTCTACGCGCATCGTGCCACTCGGCTCCTGCAGCAACCGCTTACTCAATTGTTCATGCGCACAGGATTATTCCCCATTCAATATTGATGTCACCACCGGTGCGGCAGCGCGTCCACATAAGGGTTGTGCAAGGGGCATCTGAATCAACACACACCCAACAACCCAGGGCCTGGGGCCTGCACCTGCCACGGCATAGCTGTGCAGACCTGCATGCATGTGGGCAACGGGTGTGCCGCGGTGCTGACAGCGAGGTGCGTGCCCTCTAGCTGTTTTCTTGACTTCTCGCCAGCCCTTTTACACCTGGCCCTCCTCAACATGCTAAACCGCAGAGGAGCCCACCTTCTCTCTCGCCAACGGAGTTGGAATGCACATGTGCATCGGCGGAAGCGACCTAGACTGTAAGGCAGGGGCAAGCGCAGGAAACAGGGGAATCGGGACACGGCCAGACATGGTTTGTGCCCCCCCCCCACCCGACCCAAACGACCTGGTGCCTGCTGCTCATGCGTGCATCTTGACAAACCCATCACGGCAAACAGGGTACACGTACAGCAGCGGCGGCAAGATGATGGCAGGCGGCATCAGTTTCGTTTCGTCGTTTGGGCTGGGAGGCTTCGGCGCGGGCTACCCCTCCAACGGCAACGAGGTGGCCCCCTCGTAAGTTCGCTGGCCGCAGCGCTGGCGGCCACCGACTTGTTTTGGTTGCGCAGCCCAACAGAACCTTGAACCTCCCGGCCTGATGCTGCCATGATCTGCAGGTTTGTGTTTATCAGGTCCCTTTCACTCAATATCAAGGCCATATGGGAAGCCACCAGGTGATCACAGGGTCTAGGCCAAGCGGTTTGTGGGTGTGAACAGGGCAGGGGTTCAAGTATGGTAGGCAAGCAGCGTGCACAATAGCCTGGAGTATCGCACACGCCCCAATCGCTCGCACACGTGGTTGCACATTTTGGTATTCTCAAGCACTGGCCCCTCTCCTTGGTCTCTGTGCCGCCCCTCGCAGCCACGAGGCGGGACACACCCTAGGTCTCTAGTGAGTGGGCTGCTTTTGCAATGCCAGGGGGCCGCCTGCATGTTGACGATGTTGTGCCCGAGCGGTTGACAGTGCCATGTGCCCCAGCAGAGGTGCAGCTTCCTCTTGGTGTGTGTGTTGAGCAGTCGCATGCCACTGAACACGGCACCAGACCTGAAATTCTCACCTGCTTGTGCACCCCCGTGGCTCGTCCTGTTCTTGGCCACAGCCACCATGGGCGCAATGCATTTGGTGGCAACAACTTTGTCCGGGAAGAGTACTACAGGTAAGAGGGAGAAGGAGAGAGTGTGAGAGAGAGAGAAAGAGAGAGAGAGAGAGAGAGAGAGAGAGAGAGAGAGTGTGTGTGTGTGTGTGTGTGTGTGTGTGTGTGTGTGTGTGGCGCGTGTGAGTCTGTTGAATCTGCACTTGTGGGCTAAATAGCTCCACCAACATCACGGGCTGAACACTTGCGCCCCCTTCTCGTCACTTATGCTTGGCCTCCTCTCTACCACTCTTGACGTTGCGCCCATCGGCCACACCTGGCGTCGCGCAGCGGCCATAACAGTGGGTACACATTGGGGGCAATGCGGGTGTTGGGGGATGGGGGTGCTGCACGCATTTAGGGAAGAGCGTGCCGGGTTCGATCCTGCTGGCGTATGTGCATGCCCAAGCAGCCGTGACTTTTGCCCAACCAATCAGTATCGTCCACGCTGTTGGCGGCCCCCCTTTGATGCGCAGACTGGGCGCCCATTATGGGGAGCGCTTACTCAATGACCATATCGCAGTGGTGCCGCGGAGAGTGAGTGGCACAAGCGGGAAAGGGGGCACGATGAGCAAGGTCTTCTGCCCAGCCTGCGACGCAAGCTGATCCAAGCAGCCAAGCCGTCGCCTTCAAGACAGAGGGCTGTGCCCGCGTGAGCAAGCGCGGCCTTGGGCGCACACGCAGCCCAACACACATACACATGTTGATGTGCCGAGTGCCTGGTGGCTCCGCACTCGGTCAATTTCCCACCCCCTCAACATGCTCTTGTCCCCACCAACGCCCCTACAAATGCTATACCCCCCGCACAAAAATACATGTAATGTTTGACCCAGATACAACCAGGCGACGATGCCATTTCAAGACGACATTGCCACGATTGCTGGCTTTGTCCCGCTGGCACCGGACGACGTCGGCAGTACGCCCGCGGCTGCTAAGGCCCTGGCCAACACATCCTCTGCGTCAGGCGCCACTTTTGTGGGGATCATCAGCGGCGCGTCTGACATCGACACGTTCAGCTTTGCCAGCGGTGTGGGCACTCCGAGCATCTCGCTGACCCTCACTAGCACGGCGGTTGGCAACCAGTTCCCATATGCCACTTGGGACCGCACTGACCTCCAGGCCCTGGTGAGGCGGGGCCAGCTTGCAGGCGCACGTGCCGACCTGCTCAGGCACGGTGATCACATATGTACAGGAATGCGTGGGCGCCGCGTGCACACACCTCCACACACAGTCACACGTGCATGCGCACGTGCGCGCACTTACACACACACACAAACACACACACACACACACAAACACACACACAAACACACACACACAAACACACACACACACACACACACACACACACACACACACACAAACACACACACACACACACAC